GATAATGATCTAAATAAAAGTGTTCACTCCACTCTTCTCCCTTGCATCTATGAAATTGCTTTTTGCCTTCAAACTTCCCTTTGTTACCACCAGACTGCCTTTAAATAAGCAAGCTATTTTGAAGGCATTTCAATGAAAGTTTTGATGAGTTCCCAATTAGTGATATTGACAGACTTGTTATGACTTTCCCCCTTAATTGTCTTCCAGAACTTGATTATGGCACAGATCTTTGATGTACTAAATAAGTATGTTTGGTTAAGTTTTCATGTCACAGCTGCTGACTAAATTAGTTGTGTTATACCACACATGTTAATACGGGTTCCCACAGCAAGAGAGACGGGAGCAGCCCCTGTGGCATCCCTTCGTCACTGCTGTTTGCTGTTCGGAGGGAACAGGCAGTGCCTGTGGCCATCAAATCATTAGTCTTTCTCCCATGGCTGGAGTCCAAAGGACACTGTGCCTCTCTCCACGGAGAAGCTGGAAAAGGCCCAGGGAAAGGCAAATGCAAGATCAAGAGGTTAGAGAGACGTCCTCACAGGATGGGCTAAAAATGAGCTCTGGAAAGACTGGGGCTAAAAGGTGACATAAAGGATCCTGGAACAGTTGCCTGAAAGAGAGAAGTTGAGTATTACGCAGAAAGCCCTGAACAGCGAGTGGTGTGGCTGCTCCCTGAAGCCATAAGAAAGGCATTTTAAAAGAGTCATTTGAAGTTAAAGAGATAGAATGAGACTCTATCTCCAACCTATCTGCTGATGATCCTCTCCAAGGTATGGTAGCATCTGAAACGATGTTACAGCGGCGCCCTTTAGGAGTTAGTACCCCGTAAATTGGAATTAGAGGCATGAGAGCAATTTAAGACTATGTAGCATAAAATGAGAATTTAGACCCTGGCATACAAGGCAGTTACGAGTCCACATTGGTTCCAGATAGGAATATTATTGTTCTAGCTGAGAAATGCAGCCTTTTGGCAGGCAAAGCCTGTGCTCATGAGCTGATAAAAATTATCCCATTGCCTGCTCAGTGCCTTCCCAGGTGACATCAACAGCTGTTGCAAAATCCCAGACCTCAATTCCTGCCAGACCACAGGCGGCTGAGCCCAGAAAACAAAACCATGACTCATGGTGAACATTCATTGTCCCCAAGGTAGATACAGTGACAGCCACGCACACACAGTGCTGTGGAAACTTGGGCTTCAACCCGGCTTGCCCTGGCGAGGAGGCCACC